AAGAGAAGGGAACGAGGGGAAATAGATGTTTCCAAGTATTTTTAACGATGGATATTGATTTGAAGGCGGTGAGTTATAGATGAAGGAATTTGGCGGAGGTGAAGGTTACGTATCTTTGTCCTTGAATCGATTTCTGCCCGGTAAAATTAGTTAGAAGAGGAATTTGGTGGAAAAATTAACGTTTTGGAATATCTTTGGGGGCAAGTTGAACGATTTGAAAAAAATTAAACCGAGAGGAAGGAATTTGGTCGAGTTGAACAATGATACTCGTCGAAATGAATGAAATTTTTCCTTTTAAATATTTCTATAAAATTTATCAAACAATGATAATTGTTAAAACTATCCAACTATCCCTTACATCCTTCGAACATCCTTTAAATTCACACGCTGACAAGCAGCTCTAAGGAAAAATTAGATCGGCTAATAAAAAAGAAAAAAACCCGCCTTCAACCCGAAGCGACAGAGCAATCAGAGAAACGAATTGAACTAATCTCTCCGCCATTCCTGCCCTTAAGCTAGCAGCCGACGATTCCTCCACCTTATTATTTAAAATGTCCGCGAAAACGTGCGTGGATAGATAGAATCGGTATTCCGTTTTGCGGATGGCGTTTTAATCAAGATCGTGTCACTTCGCTCGTCTAATGCCACCAGCTACGTCAGAAATCAACGTTCTATCTGATCCTGCCACGGGTATTTGCATAATCTAATATCTCTCGGCCGATTGGAACCATCTTAGAATGGAACAACATTCGTCACAAGCGAGTTCCTTTTCGCTTCCTTTTTTTTGGAAAAAAAATTATCTTTTGACACGTTGCTTCGCGAAACGAGACACGGATCGTCGCAAAAAGTGACGATTAAACGAAAAAAAGATAGACAAAGGATAGTTATTATTTTTTTTCAAACAGTATGATATAAAGTTTTATATTTTATTCGATATGAATTGAAAGAATATATTAATAACGTGTTATTAATAATTAATTTGATGATTAATTTACCAAGTCGAATAGAATTATATAGTCCACGTGTCATTTAAACAATGCTCGTTTCGAGTATTTCTTTAGATAAACAATTCGATGATATGTAGAAATATGCTCGACAAGAAATTAAAAATCGGCGAAACGATTAATAAAACCTGCCATTGCCGATCTTCGCAATATGAAACGGGATAAATAAATATATCATACAAATAATTCGATAAAAAACAAATATTCTTTATGTCAACTGAAATTTAATTCCTTAAAATTCACATTATCGAAATCAGTTCGACATCGAATTTCCTTTTTTTTTTTTTCTTTTCACAACACAGGAAACAAAAAAACATGTATGCACAGAATCTTGCACACGAGCAATTAGATTGACGATTTTAAATCAGAGTGAAAGGGGGTGGCCTCGAATCGATTAGAATTCGTATTAGGAACCGGTTATAAACTCACATCCTGAGGAATAACGAGGACGAAGACGACTCGATCTCTTTTTTTTTTCTTTTTTTCATTTTTTCAAGGACACGAAGTCGTCAGATGGATACAGGTTGACGTCTAGCATTTTAAATTCTCGATCGTAAATGAAACGAAGAGAGGATATATATTTGTCGAGACAGGTTTCCGTTTATGCGGAAAAATTAGCCGTTTCCTCAATTTTCTTAAATGGAAAAAAAATTTGAAAATTAAGGGAAACGGGTTAGGGCCATTAGACCGGATCTACGTTTCGAAACGTTGTTGCAAGATGTTGGATAGATAATATGTAGTTAATGAGGAGGACAGTTTCTGGGGATTAAGTGTAACATTCGATTAAAATAAATTAATATTAAAATAAAATTAATAATATAACAAACTGTGCTATAATGAGATATTAGTAGACGTCAATTTATAGGGTTTTTTTTTGGGGAATTTATTTTGATATAAATGGATCTATTTATAGATAATAAATAGATTACTATTTGTAAATCGAATTATAATATTACATTATAATTATAAAGGAAATTAAATTTTTTATAATTGATAAATAATAAATAATATTTAAATTCTGAATTTAAAAATTATTTAGCAACGAGAACAAACTACAATCTATAGCACATAACTAACTGCAATAATCTTTAATACATTTTACTATATGTTGTATCCATATATAATTTTTACCATATACTCCTGCACATTTAAAAACTTAATTTTAATAAGAATCAATGTAATCTTAAACAAAATCTACATAATAATAAACAACTACAATTCACGTAATAATTAATATTAAAAAATACAATACATGCAATAATAAATTAATAAAATATAAAAAGAATCTTATAATACTCGGAATTCATGCGAATTTCGAACAAATCAGAGACAACGTACAAAATATCTTGAAATTACACGAATTTAACTTACTTAGCTGCGATTGCTTTCCTCATTTTACATATACAAGCATGTACAAAAATTTATCGAGACGACTGTTTGTACGAACGAACAAAACAACAAACTTACTTCGAGAAACGCAGCGGAGAAAAGGATCACCCAGTGTCTTCATAAAAGTAAAATCATTTCCTGCCGCAGGTATGGTATTCTCCCCGTAGATTTGACGAGCACGCTTGCCCCACCTGCCTTGGAATGTGGCTCGAAAGCGCAAAGTGAAAACAAATACCCTCGATGTACCTGTCCTTAGGACGAGGGCAGACGGTAGGTACCCCACGAAGCGGCGGTGGGCCCTTTAGGGAATTACCACGACGACCTTCGAGAACCCCTCGACTAGTTCCTTCGAGAGGGAGAATCGTTTGGCATGTACCGTAATGCCAGATTTTCAAAATACGTACGACAATAATTAAGAAGCATTTTGATTATGAAAATAATCCCTAACGAATTTCAGAATTATTAATTTATTTATAACTTGTAACAATATAATTAATTATTTTATTAATTCTATGCAACGTTTAATTGAATCAAATAATTGAATCTTCAAGAAAAGAATTCCAAAGAAAAAAAAGTTCGAAACAATTCGCTAAAATGCATTATTACTGCTATAATAGCTTTTCAAAATGATTCTTAAAAAAGTTAGTTGCAATTAGAAACAACAATCGATACTGTTTTCAAAATGAAAACAGGTAGATTGAAAACAGGTTGATCAGGAAAAAAATCCACCTGATCCCAGACCCAGGGAACAGGTCTTTCAAAAAACTCCCCTCCATAAAAACTTGTTAATTCCACGTATACAGAGGGGAGAAGCGATGAAATAGGTAATAAGGATCGCGCCTTAAAAAAAGAAACTTTCCTTGGAATAAAAAAAATTAAGCAAAAAAAGAAACTCACTTTTTTTTTTTACTCTCACAATATACAAGCCTCGTGCGCGAGGGTGTACGATTCCCCGCAGGGACGCGGACAGGGCTCCTCGAGGAGGGGGGGAAAAAAATCGGATCCAAGGCGTAGTTAACGGTTCTGAGAGGTGGCACATCTCGACGACCCTAAATCTCTCGAGCGTACTGGGGTAATGGAGGAAGCTGGCTAACATTATTGCCGCGCGTTAATCACTATAACTTACAGCCCCCTAAGCCAACTTGTTGATTTAAAGTGGTCGGAGGGCCACGACCGGCTTCCTCCTTCTTCGGATCGAATATTGCGCTTAATTGGACAAATTAATCCGTCCACAAGAAAGGATATAAATGTTCGTGTAAAAATGAAATACCTGTGCATATATCGTAGAAAATTGATAATTTTTTGGGGGATGATTTAGAGGGGATGCTCTTTCTCTTAGCGAGAATACTTGGTTATAAAACGTTATTGAAACGTTATATGCTTGGGATATAAGTTATAAGTGGATAATTTTAAGATGTTGAGAGGAAATTTAAAATAAAAGGAGAAACGATTTATGAATATAGCGTGTTAAGATTTATGATAATTAGATATTGGAAAGTAAAGATATTCGAAAATTTTAAAGATAAAAGTTTAAAGTCAATTTTTTGGAAATAAAAAATTTTTTGGACATAAAAAATCGAATAAGTAAGAAAATAATTCGAAAATCTTTCTAATAAACATAATCTTGACATAAATCTTAAGAAAAAATTATTGATACGAAAAAACAAATCATAAAAGCATACACCACCCTACGAATAGGCTTATCCTTATCACCTTATCATCCCTCTCTTTTTCCTTTAACAACATTCTATGGATTAACCAAAAAATTTCTTCGTATTTCCCTCGAATTGCAAATTAAAATTCCGAAAAGTGTCATTTAAAATTCGATGCCCCGTTAAACAAAATTGTCAAAACGAATAATTTTCATCGATCCCAGGAAACATCTCCCCCAGAGGACGTTCGAGCTCTCCTCTTCGACCTGTCCTTCCAACAGGTCTCCCTTCGAGACCGGGCGAAAAAAAATATCCACCCTTTTGATCGCGTTCATCACGTTTCAAAAAGGGGTTCGAAAAGAAGAACCCTGGCGGTTTTCTATCTGGAGAAACCGGAGAGGAAGGATCCACCGTGCACGAGGGGGTGGCCGCGGGGGTGAAGAGGCCAAGAGCGCACAGGTCGGGGTGGTAGGTTGGATTAGCGTCGGGGAGGGTGTCAGAGGAGGGAGAAGAGCGGCAGATGGTCGGCGTGGACCCTGACGTGGGAAGCTCCGAATTCTCCAAGTTCCCACAGCCAGAGTGCACCTGCCCTCCCCACTCTGTCACCCCGTCCTGCTCGCCTGGGCCTATATAAGATCCGGGGTTGCTCGTCTAAGGCATCATTCGCTCACTAGCGTTTCGTTCCAAACCAACTCAGAAAGCACACATTTTTCGAGTCTTCTTCGAGTCTCGAATCAGCTTACATATAAAAATACACACGCTTTTTCAAAAAAAAAAAAAAAAGAAGAAGAAGAAGAAGAGTTCGAGTTTTGCCGCGAGTTCCAGTGAACATCGGATCGTGGAAAGGAGAGAGACAGAGAAAGAGAGAGAGAAAGAGAGAGGGAAAGAGAAAGATCGTATTTAAAACCGGTTCAACCGAGTGTCTTCCTCGCACGAGACAAGGAGCAGAGCAAAGATGGCCGCCGCCACTATGAGCCACGTGTTCGATTACGAGAACGAGCTGAACGATAATCTGTACAATCTGAAGATGTCGGGCAAAGGTAGCACGACCCCGAAACGGGTGAGGAGCGTGTTGAGACCGATTCTGAGGTTGTTGAAGAAGAGGACGAGCAGAGGGAAGGTTGGAGGGAAGGGGCAGAAGGCGATGCCGCAGGTGGAGATCTTCACCGAGGAGGTTGACAATCAGAACAACGCCAACGAGGCGTTGGAGAGGAGATTGTTGGCCGAGCTTCAGGACGCCGAGGAAGGGGCAGCTATCACTGTCTGTTTGGACGGGCAGATGACAGTTGTACCCGTTGTTCCTGGCCAGTGCTACGTGCCCGTACATTTCGCGCACACCCACGCAGGGGACTTCTACTGGACGACCCTGAGCATGACCGACAGTGATCTGTGCTACAAGGAGCGCGCCTTCTCGCAGCATCAGACACCTGAGATGCAGGTTGCGTGAAGAGATCATCTCTGGTGTACACCTCACATCTACCTCAACGATGGAAAAGAAAAATCGAAAATAAAACCTCGATCTTGTCGAACGGATCTTGATCGATGAAGAAGACCTTGAACTGGAAGAAGAAGAAGAAGAAGAAGAAGAAGAATTCCTCGTCGTGCCTCGCCGAATGTGAAGATTCGACGAGGAATAGGGGGAACTTTTGGATGATCTCGGGGAAGAAGGTGGAGAAGAAGCATGTTTCGAAGATAAAAGGGGTTCCCTCGAAGGGGTTCGTTCTATCAGAGACTGCGACTTTAGATAAGATAGTATCGAAACTGTGATAAATAGATTGTAGTTTTCCAATTGATCTTTCGCTGAGAAAATTGGGGAATTTCGCTCTCTTTGATTCAGATGATCAGTTGGAGAGATTATTCTATTTTTTTGAGCTCTTTTTTCTTTTTTTTTTTTTTTTTTTTCTTTTTCTAAACGAATACCGCGACAATATAAAAAATTGATCGCAATTGTGATATTTGTACCTATTCTAGGTTAATTGTTGTAATGTATACTTTGTGATATTGGCTTTAATACCGTCGTATTGACGAAACTTCCTACCACTGTCTTCCAATTTATTAAGAATATAATAATAAATCTAATTGTAAACGTATAATTGCATTCATTAACCCTCTCAAATTTAGTTATTAAGTTGCTAATTATCTATAAGTTCTTACCGTTCTATTTACAAAAATGGGAAAAAAAAAATAAAAAAAAATATCCTTACAAACTAGTTCGAATATTCTTTCAAAAAGATACTGGATGAAAAAAACCTTTAGAGAAAATTCGAATTCACCTGCGATCTTTGAAAATGGTTAGCCCTTTGTAAAGTATTTTCGAACAAAGGTTCACAGTTTCAAAAGGGGTCCATTCATACCTGAAACTGGTTTAAAGAAAGCCTCGGGGGTCTTTTCAGCCCTTCATCCTGGAGAGAAAAGATTCGAGAAATCTTTGAGGAATTTTGAATTCTTGGCAGGCAAAGATTTGACCAAAGATATTATGAGGCTGTATAGAGATTTTCGACAAAGATTTTTCATCCGAAATTAGTATTGAAAACCGAGGAAGGAGGGGTAAGAAAAATTTCGAAACCACGAAATCGTTGGTTTTCTAAAAATCTTTGTAATTCGAAGAAAATTATTAGGCTGATAGTTATTTATAATTATAGAAACGAAGAAAATTTGTGTAATCTCAGATATTCTTATATATTTTCTTTTCTTTTTCCAGATAATTAAGAAAGCTATCTATCTTCCCGTACACTTTCATTCAATTATTCTTTTTTACACGGTTAATCAATGTACACACCTGTGATTCCTCTTATGAAGTAGAACAGGTTTCTTATATAACGATGAAGATATTGATCAAGTTTTTATATTTTCAAGACTTATCGCGTTGAATATTTAATATGTTTGAATATTGACAAAATTTTTGTCGCGTAATTCTTTCTTGCAGAGGGTTTTTTTCTTTCATTAAATTAGCGAATAATTAACGAGGTGTCGATGTTTTTTTGTTTTTTTTTTTTTTAATTCAAATAATATCCGGGATAACGAGGATATCAATATAGAAATAATTAATTTTCATATAACGATTTAAGGATTCGAGGCTTGAAGAATTAAAATAAATAAATAAATAAATAAAAATTTACTGTAAAATAAAAATGCAAAATATATTTTTCACGACAATTAGACAAAGGTTTATTGAAAATAGGCACACGTGTTGCCCATATGTGACAAGCACATGTCCGTCACGTTGGATGGGGTGCGTGAATTCACATGATTTCCCGTGACCAGTTGGGGTAGTCAATCCCCCAAAAATAACAAAAGATCACGGCATACTCGATGCTCGTGTATCAGGACAGTAATACAATAATGACAGGGGTGCATAATTCGAGAATGGATCACCGATAGGGTTAACCCAATTTTACGTTTGTTTAACGGTCAGTAGACCGCGAATCGCCGAATGAATGTTGAATGTCTATCCCTTTTCGAAGGGATGAAAGCGCAAATGTTGGATTAAAGCGTAGAATATCGTTGAATATCAATTAACATACGGGGATACTTGAAAGAAAGTTTTTCGATCCTTTATTTTTTTATTTTTAAATTTTCTTTGGATGGATAAAATTGATTTTAAAAATAGATTATTTATGATATTGTAAACATTATTGGGATTTTGGATGTAAGAGAGAGATTATTACGTAAGTAGAAATATTTGGATTAATTGTGCAGTGTTATTGCAATTAATTTTCTATTTATATTCTTCATTTTTTCTTTTTTTTTTTTTTTTTTGGATATAATTTATTAAGACATTGAAAAAATTAAAGTAAAATTAAAGTAAAATTAGTATTATAGATATAATACTAATTTTAAAAATTATTAAAAATAATAATATGTAATTTAAAGTATAGAATTACTAAGTGTATCAATATAGATATGATCATAAAAAAATTAAAATTTTAAAAAAATTAAAAAACAAATGGTTAGGTAGAATCCTAGTCAATTGCTTATCCCAAAGGGTAGGCAACCCTTCGTACTATCCTGCATTAGGACCAGAATACTTGCTTGAAAAATGCTCTAAAATGCCCTAAAATAATTTATATCCATACAATCTTGCACTCGTATTTTTCAATAAAAATATATAATTTAACAAAAAATATAATATAAATAATAAAAAATAGAAAATCAGAAAACTAATTTAAAATATATTCTATTACAAAGAAAAAGTATTTTGTTTTGACAAAATATGAAGCAATATGCAATAAATATATACTTTCACGTTTAATTTCATAAATTTTTTTTTATTAAAAAATTATAAGAGGCTCTGTGGGAAAACGTTATACTTTTTTGAAAACAAGACACATTAATTTCTCCAATTTTTATTAATGTGCGAAAGTACACAAATTTTTTTACCTTACACTTTGTAATTTTCTACAATATTCTTAAATTAAAAATTTTGTCATTTATTTTTTTTTTTTCGAATCCTTCGAACACATTTGAACTACATACAACTATATAATTTGCTTTCAAACTTCTCGAGAAAATTTTTGGTAAATTGTATGGTATATCAATGAAAGCGCGCGTGAAAAAAAAAAAAAGAAATTATACATTACACTTGATATGATAGAAATTAATGAGAGTTGAAAATTGAAGATAAAGGTTTTTAAAAAAAATAATTACGTCATTCGCATGAAAATTGGACATATACTTCTATATGATATAAGCATCAACATTTTTTATTAATAATAAAACCAATTTTCAAATAATTTATTTTATTTCGATTTTATAACAAATATTTGATATTTTAATTTTTTTTAATGAACATAATTAAATCAATATTATTTCACCAAAATTTAAAAAATCCATATAAATATTGAGTATACAAATATTGTAATTTCTCCTTTTAACATTTCCCTCAAAAATTAATTTTTTTCATAAATATTTCATTCTTATTACTTTTCATTAATTTACGAAAGCGACACCTGTAATTATCCGGTAATATTTCAAGCAGGAATATTTTCCATACCCATTCATAAAATACGAAATAAGGATAAAAAAGAAAATTTTTAAGCAAAAATTAAGAAATAAAATTCAATTAGCATAAACTGATTTCTCTCATCGAGAAGAAAAATTATAATAAATCCAAATATTCCTCCACCCACAGGGAATCGAAATCCTCGATCTATCGATTCCTTTTTATCATCCCACGTCAATTTCCCGTTCATTACAACTCCGCAAATGTCCGTGCCAATTCTCTTAAATATCTTCATAAAACGAATCCGACCAATAATGAAAGATCCTGCGCGCACTTAACGCGGATAAACAGGACAGAGACGCGAAATGTATCAATTATAAAGGCTCCGTTGATCGAATTAATCGACGTTTCCATCGTCGAAAATTAATTCATTACAGCATTGCATCGACGAAATCGATCAGAGGCGGTTCGATCCTTCTTTCTTTCTTTTTCCTTTTTTTTTTGACACGAATCCATCGACGAAAGCGCGATGAATCGATCGAAAAGCATCGAGTTTCTGTGTTGCAACAACATCTTTCTTGGAGTAATTGAGATGATTACATATATGGAGTCCAAAAGCGCGAAATTAGTTGTTCAGCTGTGAACGATCAAAGTTGGTCGATATTTTTTTTTTTTTTCTTCTTCTTCTTTCTTTTTGGAGAAAAAGAAGAAATGGGCGACCGACTCTCTCGCGTAAGTCGGTCGCGTTGTTGAAAAATTTTTGGATAACGTGGAAATTGATTGTTTCGATATTCGTGCGTTAAGGCCAGCTGCGTCATGTGGACAGGAAGAAGGAATTTTCAAAGTGTCGCGACAATAATCGGGTTGATAATGATCTGGAAATGTGACAGATGCACAGTGGGCCAACAGGAAATAATAATGACGTAAAAGTTGGGTATTCTTGAAATTGAAAAATTTTTGTTTGACGTGGGTCTCGGTATTGGTCGTTATTATGGTCCGAGACCAGTTATTATCGCTCGCATGGTGGTCGTGAAAATAGTTACACGAACGTGGATTGCGCAATAGAAAGGAAAGAAACGTAAGGGAAATTCCTTTATATTCCTTGCTATTTACAATTTTTATTTTTAATATAAAACTAAGGGAACATGATATTAAATGTGAATCATAATCATTAATTTTCTCCTACACTATTAATTTAACGTATTCACGACAAAAAAGAAAAACGATCTTTCTTCAATTTCAGTAATGAAATTCATCACAATTTCACGATTTAATTAGATATTATTCTTTCGTAATATAATTACATATAATTTTTACAGCATTTGTGAAATATCGTGCATAATTTGCAATTACACAAATATTTTATTAATGTAAATTTTAATTTATCGAAGAAAAATTAACAGTTTTAATATATTTTTCCGTTTTTTTTAAAATCATCAAATATCACGTTTTATGTAAATTTGTTAATTATTATTGCATCAAAAGGATATAAACCGTGTAAACAC